TAGCACTTCTTAGTTCTATAAAAGTCTAGTTTGGTTTTGAATAGCTTTTTTAGATACTGATTTTGGTATGTAAGTTAAAAATTAAGGGAAGTAAGGGAAAAAACAATAGGTATCTATTTATTTATTTATTTTATTTGAGCATTGTTTACTGTTTATTACTGCATAACACAACAACTGTGGTGGTTGGGAAGCAGTTCCATATGACCAGTTTCAAAACATGCTAATTCAATAGACCAGAAGGCTGCAGAAGATTACTTTAAATCCCGAAGTTACTGTTTGTGCTGTTTGATAGGTGTGTAATGAACTAACATTTTCTTTGAAAAGCATATATTTCTTAAGTTAGATTTTGCTGTATTGGAGCACAGGCAATGGCAAGTCTCTGGAACAAGTGAAATAGGAGTCCAGAAAATGCTAAAAAGATGTTCTTGAACTAAAATCTATTATGTAAAAAGGCCACTAGGACATTCAAAAGCAGATGTAAAAAACTGTAAGTTAAATGAGAAAATGTGTGTATTTACCTGACTTGACTTGTTTTCATTTTACCTTTCAAGTACATGGTGAAATGCAGAAAATTCCATAGTGGTCAGTCAGCAGTTGCAGGCTGTTGTGGAAAAGCTGGAGTTGCAATTAGTGCTTCAACAACACTTAGGTTATTTACACATAAATATTTCTCCAGTCTCATATGCAAGTATTACTAAATAATAACTCAGTATGTTATACTTTCTTTTCTGCTTTGATCACTTTTTTTCTATGATATCAATATATGCCACATAAGAAAATAAAGGAAACAATAAGATTAACTATCTAGCTAAACCATATAAAGATGCTTCCCTGAACAGCAATTGCTACTTTGAAAATATGTTTTGTGGCACCTTTCCTATAAATTGTATATAGCAGTGTGACCTGAAGAATTGAGGGTTGACTTTATAGAGATATACTGGTCCACATTGCTTGCTTCTGGCAGTTTTGGTTCTACATGTGCTTCACTATTTTCAAAGAATAGTTTGAATAGTGAGAATAAAAATAGTAAATCTCTAAAAACTGCATTCCCATCCGGTCTACTAACATATGGATTTTTTTGGCAAGATGATAACTTTTTGCTGTGCAGCTAGTGGAACTTTTCAAGATTTTTCTCTCTATTTGCATATTATGCATATTTATGTCTTTATATTAATTGAAATAATGCAAAATCATATGATGTGTCTGTAATGTGAAGCTAGCTGGAATTGCTTTGATTCTTATTATTTCCTGAAGTACAGTATATCTTGACACTTACACCATATACATATATGTGTTGTGTGAAATATTAAAATAAAATATTTGTTACATGCCTTTCTATTCAAAGCCAACTGTTTGTGTTTGTGGCTTAAAAAACTCCAGGTCTCTAATTTACAGCACATTTTTTTTATGTGGCATCACTACAGAATCATATTTCCCACCCCCAAAGATAATTCTAAAAGAAATATTTACTGTGTTGCTATAAAAGGAAATTCAGGAGGCAATGTCTTTAAATTCATTCTTTCAGTTAACTGACAGCCTTCCAACACTGCATGTCACTTTTAACTTTATTGCAGTAAACTTTTAAGTCTTTTGTAGTCCATCAAGTGGAAGAGAACTGTGTTCAAGAGCTCATTCTCACCCCATTCTGGGATCAGAAGTTATAGCTTCTGTAAAAAGCTCTAAAATGCACCAAACTTGCACTTTCTTCTCTGCCCTACTTGAAGGTCTTTTCTTTATTATTCATATATTCATTGACATGAAAAATAGTCCATGCTCTCATATGCCTTCTAATATTCCATAGTGTTCTAGTGTTCATCCCATAGGAAACCTTTACATGGGTTTCAAATTATTCACAGAACAGATGCCAGAGTTTGACTATGTAATAGTAAGATAGAATTTTTTTAATTGTATTTTAAGTAGTGTATTGACTTAACTACTATAGAGATTTCAAATATAATTTAAAACACAGTTCTGGAGTAGCATATTTGGGAGCTGTGGGGTTTGAATAAAGTTGCAAACTTGCACTTTTTGGAAATGAAATATTGGTATAAGTTAAACATATTTTTTTTCTTTAAATTCTTACTCAAATTTCTGTGGATTCTAAATATAGCTGAGTACATTTTTTCTTGATCAATTTTGACAGATCTTAAGTGTAAAAATCCAGGAATTTCAAGGGTCCTACAGGTTAGATTTTTTGTAGCTCTTTTGATCTATATTGATACAGATTGCCATGGACTTCATCCTGTTATTGTATTACTAATGCACTATTAACTAAAATTTCTATATTGTCTGAAATGTAACACAGAGCAAAACTGCTGTTATGAGTGTTCTGAATTTATCTTCAGTGACTTCTGAAACAAGTATGCCACTTTTACAAGTGAAAATGTTTTTTTTAGCAATCATCAGGTAAAGAAATTTATTTTAAAATCTGAAGGCTAAACTGGACTCCCTGTGAGCGTGTATTAGCAATTTAGCTTGGATCAGAAATGTGCTTTTGAACCAAATCTTCAATTGGTCCCTCTTATCCAACTTTGCTTCTCATTACTGTACACTCATTAAGGACGTGAATTAGATTTATCTGTGATCAAGTCAAACCAAAAGATGGACTCCTGGGATGCATGCAGTGTGCTAACACTTTCAGTCCACAGGACCAGAGTAGAGCTAGTCTACGTAAAACCCACGTAAGGTCTAAAAATCACGCAAGGGAATCCCAGTCTGAGAAGGACGAAAATCTCTACCATCAACATTGCACTCCTCCCAGGGAAGAGCTCAGGATCTCCCAGGGAAGAGCTCAGGATGCTAGTGACCCTGTCAAAAACTATTTTTGATGCAACTTTTCTGTAATAATTCGGTAATTTTTGGATTTTGAGTGTCATTTTAACTGGCTAATAATTGTTATATTTTAACAAGGCTTTTAAAACATTGGTTGGACTAAGAAAAACACTGTTGGCTGTGTATATAGGGTATATTCCTTTTGTCCATGGCAAGATATTGAGTGTAACGCTTCTCAGGAGAATGATGCAATCAAAGGGCAGACTCTTTGTCTAATGCCAAGGAAAGTAGGTTGAAAGAGCAGGAGAAAGGGGAAAGGAAGGAGGAGGACTTGTAATCAGTGGTTTAGACCACATGACCAACAAGAAATCTAGAAATCTGAAAGCCAGAAGGTGGGAATTTTTAGTTCAGCCAACCTTTCAATGATTCTGTGGTTTGGTGTTGTCAAAAGGGTGGATGATGGTTAGATGGAGTAGAAAGGTCATTTTTAATGGATAATAAAATCAGAAGGACTCTAGAAGCAGAATGTAACAGTAGTGTACATTTAATTTACATTTAGCAGGTGGAAACCAAGCAATGTTCCAGTACAAAAGGGATTGACAAAACATTGCGGTTTTGAGGTTCAGGTTGGACATTAGAGAAAAAAACAAAAGGCACTAGGAAGGCACTGGAACACTGGAACAAATTGTGAAATTTCCTTGTAGTTTTTCAAGATTTTGCCAGACAAAGCCATAACTAAGCTCGCCTAATGTTTTCAGTGGTAGCACCTAAAGCAGAAAGATGGACCAGATGACCTCCTTGGGTCTTGTAAAAATTCAGTTTGTTTACAATTATTTTATTTTCAATTTAAAACTAAACAAGGTTTCTATACTACCTCCTGTAATAATGTATCTTCAGTTGGAATAGAATCCATCTCTGATTTCTCAGGTTAGGTCTGTTCTTTTTTAATAAGATGAAATATTAACAAAAACATTTTCTTTTATTCTGACTAGATAATTGACTACGAAACCTTTGCAAGAATACATTATTTAGATATTTTATATATATATATCTCATCTTTCTAATAATAAGTTACAGAAGTAGATAAGGAGCTAGTCGAAGTCTTTGGAAAGATGTAATAGTCTTGGATATCTGTAAAAATACAGTTGGAGGAATTGGATTGGAGAGCTCTGGGTAGTCTATACTTTAAGATTATGTAAATGAGAGTGAGAAAGAAGAAAATAAGAGAAAAAATTCACTGTCTTGGGAGATAACAGTTGTGAGAGATTACAAGAATCCTCCAGTGTTGAAGGAGGGAATACAAAGCCAAGAAGATAATTTACTGACCACAAAGCCACTTTATCCAAAGGAAGATAACAAATGAGTAAACACGTCAAACAAAGAACAGAACAAGAAAAATAAGGATGAGAAAAGCAAACCAGATGAAGAACATGAGATATGGTTAGAGCATGAGATACATTTTTAGTTCCAGCTCTTCAGATTTTTGTCACTGGTATGAATAGCTGTAAATCCTAATATGGAAGGAGTAAAATCTTGAATAAAAGATGCCATTTGTAGATCATCACTTTCTGAGCTACAGCAGGATTTCAAGTGCTTGTTTGTAGAAGTAATTGCAGAAAATACTGTTTGCTTTTATTCTATAATTAAGATTTTGTGAGACTGGTAAAAGAAAGCCAATGTAGTTGAAGGCTCTTTATGCAAGTCTTTGAGGCTTGCTGGTTCCTAAAGGTATGTGGCCTTTTTCAACATACTGCCTTACAAAGAAAATTCTTATACTACATTTAACACCAGTAAAAATCAGAAGACTGCATTTGTTGGTATGCCTGATTCAATTCATAGTATTTTCCATCTTCATTTATTCCAGCTCTTTCTTATTTCTTCCATGCTCCCTTCTTGAATCATTCATAGTCAAGTCTGTTTGACTTTCTATGTGGTTTAAACATATGTTTTGGTTTTACAGACCGTTCATGTGTTAGCGTATGTTGACACAAATTTAAAAATAGTTGGAAAAGAAAAATCTAAGTAAAATGGAATTTTCAGATTAGTTTGGTTGAGAAAAGTCTATAGGTTAAGTTTTTCCTTTTTTAAAATGAATCCTGGACCTCTTAATGTAGAAGTAATTTAAATATCTTCTTAATGATCTTCATTTAGTTTGTTGTCCTAAAGCAAACTTCACTCACTGGAAAGATCTTTATTAAAGTCATATGTTCTTCTCTTTTGAACTGCAGCTCACCACAGCCACCTTGGATGGCAAACTCCAATTGTTTCTACCCTGATATTTCCCAGCCTGTGGAGCTTTGGCCCTGGTGCTCTGAAAAATAACGGCTTGCTGAGAGAAAGGAGACTGGTATCTGGCCATAGGCAAGCAGCATAATATTCCCTTTTAAACTACAGTTTTCTTCTGCCTTTGTTTTCTGCAAGTTTCTCAAGCTGTTTTCACAGTTCTTCTATTGTAAAATCTGTTACATTTATTGAAAAAATAAGGGCAAAATATCAACAAAAGAGAGTAACCATTCATTCTGACTTCATTCTAGCAAATCACCACAGAAGTGGTTTTCATAGAACTTCCAGGTGCTTATAGATGTGTGCTCTGTAGTGCTTTGCTAGAGTGCGACCTCTTTCCTTTAGATTGAAAATGCAGTTAAAATGGCAATTGTTCCATTTTTAAAGCTAGATCTGCCAAATATTTAAATTAATCTGAAAGGGAGGCATTTCTTTCTGAAATGCCACAAGAGTCCTTCTGTTATACTTATTTGGGGTTACTGGAATGAGCATAGATGTTGTTTAAAGGCAGAATTTTACTGGTTTACCCTTTATACTATATTCTGTAAATTTCTTAGGGCATATGTGAAAAACATCCTCTCTTTTAAAATATTACTTTATTGCTATAGTCTGATATTACTGAAACAGCTTTAAATGCAAAGAGACTATTTCTGTCTTTCAATAGCTGTTTAAATATTTGCAAAAAACCCCCTAAGTAATATGAAAATAAAGTTATGGGGAAAAAATGTTCATTTCTTGTATTCTTCATAGTTGATTTGTCTTAGAAAAGATTTGTTAGAAAACTGTTTCTATAGAACTAGGGATTCTAAGTATTCATTTACTCTAGGTAGGAGTAGAGAGCATCTATATGACTGGTGGAAGGAGACTGATTTCTCACAAAATTGTGCTGCCGGTTCAGTTATATTTGCCAGAACAGAATCACTAAACTTTATTAGTCAGACTACTTTAAAAAAAAAAAAAAATTGAAAAAATTGAATTCCCACCACCACTTTAACATCAATCAGTATGTTATTTAGTATTATAAAGAGTATTTAACAGGAATCCCCAATTTGTATGTATGATTAATATGAATAAATCAAGATATTTCTATAAGTTGTTTAATTTCCGTGACAAATACTCTTTTGAAAGTGCTTAGCTGTTTTTTGGTATGCTAAATCATATACTGTCACAATTTATCATATGCAGATATCTTCCTCAACACAACAGTCTCATCAATAACTATAGAAGTGTAGTGCAGCTAGATCATACTCAGCAGGAGTCTGAATATCAGAGCTGGGCCTGCTATGATCAAAGCAAATGTAGAATAACCTATCTGAGTACTTTTTCAGTTCAAGATCAGATTAACCAAGAAATCACCTTCTATGCTGTGGCTGCACACTGGTACACTACACTCACAAATTATGTGACACAAACGAGGCTGGAATGTTTATCTCCACCACAGGGATCTTCAGGATGGTCTTCTTCAAACTTCATTTAGCTAACATTCTCATCTGCATGCTTTAAATTCCATCCCAAGAGTCACTATTCAAATGCAGAAAAATGGCCTGTAGCTGTATTTTCGAGGAAAGTGTTCCTGAGGCCTCGGGTCCTGAAGCACTACTTGCTTAGTAGTCACCAAACCTTTGGCAAGCTTGAAACATCTGCCGAGGAGGTGTGAAGTATAATTATTACAATTATATTTTAAAAAGAGCCACATTTTTAGAACAGAATTATAACATTCTCAAGGGTCAAGGCAGAGGCTACACTCAGAAAAACTGAATCCCTGCTGCAAGCACGGAGGTTGTCACAATGCCCATGGGACTGAAGTAAAAAATAAAGGCTTCCATTTTCTAGATCTTCTACCTTCTAGGACTAAGAATTGTCAGTCACCAGTCAGCCAGTGTGTATCCCAAAAACCCCTCTTAATCTTGGGCTAGTTTCATCTCCGCAGGAGGAGCTTTTCTTCTAAATCTAATGTATTATTTCTCTTTCCTTAAATGGAGACTCAGGGTCTGGTGCTTTCTGGTTACTTTCATCAAGGACTTTTGCTGGACAGAAAATCCCTTTAGGGCACTTTGGCCATAACCACAGCATCATCAATCCATGCTGAATAGAGACTCATCTGTTCAGGACTTGCAGATGTGGAGCTCTTTGGTAGCCCAAGAATTTGTTAACCCTTTTGTCCCTCAGGGGGTGAGAGAATCTGCCCTACCACACAAGCACTGGAACTTTTCAAATGGAAATTCCCTTCAATTTTTTCATATGTTAAAAAAAAAAAAAAAAGAAAACCAAAACAGCCTCTCTCCTCAGGCTCCTCAGAAATGCTCGAATGCTTGTGGTTTTGAGAATGGAAAACTTTAGCTGACACACTTCAAGTTTGGCAAAGTGAAATGCTTGAAAGCAGGTTTTCTAATGGGAAATAGGAGGAAAAAACAGTCATGGATGGTGCTACCATCATATATATTGTATTTAAAATTTCCATAATCACTAGGTTTTTGTTCTGAGTTCTGTTTGACAGAAGGACACAGGAGACTATAAATAATTACTAAAGAGTTAAAGTCATGAAAGATTACTCTTCAACATAATGCTGTACCCACAGAATCACTGTGCCTTTGGTTTTGAACAGGCATACCTGACAGTTTACCTTTTCAGTTGCTGGCATAAAGACAAGACTGTTTGAAATAAGGTGGTCCTAAAAGCAGATAGGGAAAGTTCCTGGTTAGCTAAGGCAGATAGCATATCTCAGCTATAAAAAAATGACACAGACAGGTGTAAGTGTAAGTATTTAATTGGACATTGTGAGGAATTTCGAGTACGCTTTCAGGTTGTTTTTGGAAAAAAAGTGACTCTAGTATGTCTCCCAATTATCTTATGAGAATTAGAAGTCTGGCTTTGAAGGAATATGTGGCAATGTGAGGAAAACAGTTGGCAGAAGAATAGTCTAGTTTATTAAATATTTTCTGCGTCATTATGTAGCGTCTGTCTTTGAATGTCTTATATGTTGGGGAGAGGAGTGGTGGTTTTGTGACTTTCTGTGTGCTGTTCTGTGGGAGACTTTCCCAACTGAATGTCTTCTACCAAATGTAGCAGAAATTGTTTTACTTGGCAGTTTGGTCTGGTGCTCTGGAGGTCAGAAAGCACAGGGAGACTGCTAGCACTGTTCTGAAGCGGATCCTGTTAAAAATTGTTTGAGATTAAGTGGTTTGCAAAATATCAGGTACTACCCATTTTTCTGCATAGAATGAAAGGAGAGATGGATGGACAAGTTTGGGTTGTACTGTCAGGAGAAGGGGGAAAGAAAACCATGAAGAGCTCTGCCTTCCATTGGCCTTTTCCATTTCCTTAATTCATGATGAAATAAATGCTTTTTGGATTCATTCTTCAAGACTATATTGCTTTCCATTATAAATGATGATTGCATTTAAATACATAGTGAAATACTCCTAGAATATCTGCGGGTAGTCAGTGGCACTTACTTTTTTTAATTATTGCTTCATTTAATCATACTCAATTATCTTTTCAAAACTGTGTTGTGAATTGTATTTTCCCTTTTAAGCAATGAACAGGTCTGTTTGTCTTATGGTATTTTATTGCCGGGGGGAAGTATATAAGTGAAAATTGCATAAAACAATTTAAAAAAAGTGTTGGGTTGTGCCTGACAAATAAAAATTAAGTGATGTGGTATGAAATGGCTATTAATATAATTTAGGATGCTTTGCTTCAGTGCACGAGTGAGAGTTCTAAAATATATACCAAGAGAAATGGAAGACTAACATAGTACCTTCCTTGAAGTCATTGTAGGTTTAAAAGAGTAATCTTATTCAAGAATAGTAAGATGTTGCTCTGGGAGATAATACTTTTTATCTTATTATCTAAAAGTCCTCACCAGCATTCCAATGATTTCTTGAGCCAAATTGTGTTCTTCAGAATTCTGCACTTCAGTAAAGCAAGAGTAATTCTGCTTACTTATATGAACACAGTGCTGCTGGGAGTGGACTCTGTCTCAGGTATTTTAATAACTTTCAAGGAAGAACAGTATACTTCTATTAATAACAAATTTTTGGTGATGGAACAGTGTAAGCTCTGAAAGCTGTATAGACCTGAGGAGGCCTAGAGAAGATATCGATGTCAAGCGAGTTCTATGTTAACTGTTTTATGTTAAATCTTTATATTTTTGATGTGAATATGATATCTTTACCTGAAAAAATATCTTACTCCAAAAGGTAAGGTTCAGTTGAAGGTCTTTCTTATATATATTTTCATGAAAGCTAAATATTGCTAAAAGGAAAGTACTGGACCAAACACCCAAGTAAATGAAGGAGCAGAATTATAACTATGATAAATTTCATTTAACATGAAGTTATATAAATTCCATTCCCAGATTAAGAATTTCCATATTAATTTTATGTTGTGGCCAAAGTTAAATGACCCACAATGAAACATTTGCACTGTCTTAGTTAATGAAAACAAATGAACTCATGCCTCCCCTTCTGTTAAAACAACAGAGAGCTTGTGATTTGTTGAGGTTTGTTTTGCTTTGTTTGTTACTAGACAAAAATCTGTTCTGAGCTGAAAAGTATTGTAAGATAATGTGGCAATTATGTTGATCCTGTCTTTCAGTCTCAGAAGAAAGACGAACCCTTGAGAAGTCACCTCCAAAGACCCGCCTACTAACCCATTCTAAATCATTCTTGACAGATGTTTGTCTAAATTCTTCCTCAAAACCTCTGGTGACAAAGATTCCACGGCCGACCCAGATGGGAAATCCCCTTGGTGCAATTTTAACCCATCACTCTCTGTCTTAATCCATTAGGCACAGGGGATAATTCATTACTTTCTCTTTGTAGCAATCTTCTACATACTTGGCAATTGTTATCATGTCTCCCCTCAGACTTCTCTTTTTGAGTCTAAACAAAACCAGGTCTTTCAATCCATCTTCATAGGTCATGTTTTCTAGACCTCTGTTAGTTTTTGTTTTTTTTTTTTTCTGTACTTTCTCCAATCCCATGTTCCTCTTTCTGGAATTGCAGTGGTCCCAGAAGGTTACGCCACTACATGCTATGTCAGTGCTGTGTAGGCTG